TAATGACACAGTGTAATATGTCATGTTTTGTTGTTCATCTGAGGTTATATTTACCTAATTTTAAGTTGATTTATTTATTCGGTCCTGACACGTAAAACCGTAGAGTTCAATAGGGTGTCCTTTCTTTTTCACATGACTATATATATGTGATAACGACTGATCGTTCATCAACACAGATCAAGACCAATTAATATGTTAATTTTGTTAATGATAGAGGAATGTGGGGCTGCACCCTTTGTAAACTGATGAAGGAAGATAAAGAAAAACAAACAAACAAAAGGCCACCCCTAACAGCATTAACCTATGTTGGCTGCTTAAGTGTCTTCTGTGGCATGTGTTTTTGTGATGAGCTTATTTACTTCATAATGAGTAGTTTACAAAAGCAACGACGAGCCCAAACATCATCTCAAGAATGTCTCAACCTCCACACACCTGCTCCGACTAACACACTCACCAGATCTCTCACAGGGACAGCAGAAGACTCAATAGATAGATGGATGGATGAAATGGATGGATGGATGGATGGATGGATCGATGGATGGATGGATGGATGGATGGATGGATGGATGGATGGATGGATGGATGGATGGATGGATGGATGGATAGATAGATAGATAGATAGATAGATAGATAGATAGATAGATAGATAGATAGATAGATAGATAGATAGATAGATAGATATTTTGTATATATAAATATATATATGGTATATAGTATACATATTCTATATTTATATATACTTTTTCCAAGTGAAAGAAAGATAGAACACAAACAGATATTTTCAGTATATATATATATATATATATATATATATATATATATATATACTGAAATGACGGCATATATACAGTATATATATATATATATATATATATAAGAAAGAGATATATAAAGAAAGTCTAAAAGCGAATGGACCACACAGAACTTCATAAACAGTCATAAATTCTTCTACAATTGTGTTTTTTGTTACGGAGGGGAGTTGTGAGATCACACACATACCAGCAATACGGCTACAGAAAATGATTAAACTTTCTAGTCTATCTAGAGTGTAATAAAAAAAATGAAAAGCAAACACACACACACACACAGCAGCGCAGGCACAAAGGCCTCCATTGTTGTGCTTGAACTGGAATGTGTGTCAGACTATGTCAGAGGTTGGGTGGAATTTGCTTTTTACATGGAGACAAAAGACGGACTATGACTGAGTGAAAGTCGAGGCGGGGATGTGGAGAAGGCCAGCGTATGCAGCACTGAGCCAGGCAATTCTCTCTAATGTACTCCATGTGGACGTGATTGCCACAGCGGCTTGAACGAGCTGACCCGAGCTGCAGCGTAAACTTTTCCATCGTTGTTCTCGGATCCGCAGCCGCTATACAACTAAATGATTATCAATGACGGCATAACACTGACAACCCTTGAGTTCTGAGATGCACATTCATGCACAAACCAGTATGTGTCGAGGAATATGTAGTGCAACTGGTCCATTTGAAAAGAACTTTGATTGACGTGGATGGTAAAAGCTTTCGGTTCATAACCATGACACACTGCTAAAATGCTTAAAGGAGTAGTTCACTTTTAAAAAAACAAACTTTTGCTGATAATTTTCTCTCACCCATGTCATCCAAAATGTCCACGTTTTGTTCGTTAAATGACTCAAAAAAAGATTCGTTCATTTTGATTAACAAGTTCGAACAGGAGAGTCACGAATGCCTATCACAGAACAGAGCAAGGCGAGCATTTGAGCTTATAAAACTTAAACTTTTTTATTTATTTTTGAAATGAGCGATCGTTTCGCTTGATAAGACCCTTATTCATCGTCTGGTGTCGTTTAAAGGCCTTTGAAGCTGCACTGAAACTCTCATTTGGACCTTGAACCGTTTGGTTCCCAATGACGTCCATTATTTGGAGAAAATCCTGGAATGTTTTCATCAAAAACCTTAATTTCTTTTCGGCTGAAGAAAGAAAGATCAACGCAGCCAATCAGGACAGATCAACCGGTCCATGACGTCATTTTCGGAAACTCCGGACGTAACAGTTTACAATACCATACATTCAAATCCATTTTGACAATTTAAACAGCGAAATTACAGTATACGATTATTAGAATAGTTTTTTAAGCTGTAGTTATTAATCTTGTATCAATTCAAAACCCTCCGTACTGTCACAATTTCACATGATTCATGTTCTAAATGTCTACCTCTATGACCAATATGAAACGGCAGAATAATGATTAGCATTTTTGAGGAAGTTTTTGGGAGAAGAGCTCGGAAAGTGAAAACACAGACGTAGGCTACATGGAAACTTTCAATGACGTAAACTTACTCACCGTACTTTTTGAGACTCGTTCTTCCTCTTTCCCTAAGTGTTATGAAAAACAATGATATTTAAATGCTGTTGATGATAAGAGTTTTTCTCTTTTTTTTATCGCTCCCTTGCTGACAGAAATTCTTGAACTAGCTGGTCTTAGTTGGTTTAAAGGGACGATTCACCCAAAAATTTAAATTCTGTAATCATTTACTCACCCTCAAGTTGTTTTAATCCTGTACGAATTTATGTCTTCTGCTGAACACAAAATAAGATATTTTGAAGAATATGGGTAACCAAACAGTTGCTGGACCACATTGACTTCCATAATATGGAGGGAAGAATACTGTGGGAGTCAATGGGGCCCATCAACTTGCTTACAGACATTTTTCAAAATATATTTGTTTGTGTTCAGCAGAAGAAAGAAATTCATACAGGTTTCTGTCATCTAGAACACAAACAGATATATATATATATATATATATATATATATATATATATATTTATATAAGAAAGAGATAGATAAAGAAAGTCTAAAAGCGAATGGACACAGAACGCAATTTTTATTGATTTTAGGACTTTCGGTTAATCTTTCTTGAAAAAAAAATAAAGAACATAATGCATAAAATTGTTATGTAATGTTAGATCATAGCCTTGATTGATTGCTATTTTTATTATCAAATAATAAAATAAAGACCAATTTCTCATGTCGCATTTCTCACATTTATTGCATTTAGTCTAGATGTATTTCACTCCACACTCTCAATCTTAAGGCGAATACCACCTTAAGGCAAATGCTCATCTCTTGCATATTTCAGAACGCTTCCTTCAGTTTGTTTAAAATGTACTTTAGACCCAGACTAAACAAATCAAGGCTGAAATCAGGCCAGATTCTTCTCTCACTTCATAACAGGACAGTCTGAGACCTCATGAGCACCAGGTCAGACGTGCAGCTGTTACTTTTTCCACTGTTTTACAAGCAACCCGAAGTTAAACTTTGCTGTATGTGCAGAAGAGGAGAACATGTACTGTAATCACGCAAGCAATCTTAATAGTGCAAGACTCCCCAAAGGACAAATATTACCCAACAAGATCATTTCAAACAGGGCAACATTTACAGTATAAAGGGAATTTCTGTAGAAGTGTATGAATGTACTGTATCTAGGTTGTTGACTTAACAACCATTAATAATGTCTGTTTGATAGTATTAAAATGATACTGTGTGGTCAAGATTATAATACATAATGGCCAATTAAGTCAAATAATTTGCTTTGCTTTTTAAACCGCATGGAATTAAAAGTGGCGCTGCTAAGTTGATTAACCTACTTTATAAAAATGCCTAATTCTAATCTTTGTGATTGAGTATATTCTGGCTTTACAGAAATTAAATGATTTAGGCTATATGAATAAAGTGGAGTAGAAATCTCTTCACTGACGGTGTCATGTTGTGACATGCAGAAGTGGTTTCAAGTTCAAAGTCATGAAAAAAAATGTTTCAATGATAACGAGAAAAGTTATCTAGACATTTCCCGTTATTGTGGCTGGATGAGGCTGACACATTTTAGTGGAGACGACAACTGTTAATTCTATGAGCAACACCACTTAAACCTGAATGTAACTGACATTTACGTAAAGAAAGGAAAAATAAAACAACCCAAGATGGTTTACTGGTTTTAGATGGTTTCTCCAGTCAGTTTGCTGAAGAATTTCAGGCAACAGTGAGATTAGCATGATTAGCAGGAGAGACCATTGATAATCTAAAACCATTGATGATCAGCAGGAGAGACCATTGATAATCTTAAAAGGGATAGTTCACCCAAAAAAATGTAAATTCGGTCATCATTTACTCACCCTCAAGTTATTCTAAACCTGTATGAATTTCTTTCTTCTGCTGAACACAAAAAAAAAAATATTTTGAAAAATGTCTGTAAGCAAGTTGATGGGCCCTATTGACTCCCACAGTATTCTTCCCCCCATATTATGGAAGTCAATGTGGTCCAGTAACTGTTTGGTTACCCACATTCTTCAAAATATCTTATTTTGTGTTCAGCAGAAGAAAGAAATTTGTACAGGATTAGAACAACTTGAGGGTGAGTAAACGATTACAGAATTTTTGGGTGAACTGTCCCTTTAAACCAACTAAGACCAGCTTAGTTCAAGAATTTCTGTCAGCAAGGGAGCGATAAAAAAAAGAAAAACTCATCATCAACAGCATTTAAATATCTTGTTATTCGAAATAAGGGAAAGAGGAAGAACGAGTCTCAAAAAGTACGACGGGTGCAAAAAAATTCCCGGAAGTTTACGTCATTGAAAGTTTCCATGTAGCCTACGTCTGTATTTTCACTTTCCGAGCTCTTCTTCCAAAAACTTCCTCAAAAATGCTAATCATTATTCTACCGTTTCATATTGGTCATAGAGGTAGACCTTTAGAACATGAACCATGTGAAATTGTGACAGTACGGAGGGTTTTGTATTGATACGAGATTAATAACTACATAGCAAAAAAAAAAACTTATTCTAATAATCGTATAAATTCGCTGTTTACATTGTCAACATGGATTTGAATGTATGGTATTGTAAACTTGCGTCCGGACGGAGTTTCCGAAAATTACGTCATGGAGTGGTTAATCTGTCCTGATTGGCTGCGAGTTCGAAATGAGGCGGGGTTTAAGTTGGTGAATAAAACCAAAAGGGGATCAATCATTACACAGGAATACTGCGCACCAACACACAGGACACCAGAAAGAATACGCGTTAAAATCCCTTCACATCGACATAAAAAAGGACTAACAAAGCAAGGACCGGTTTATTTTGATTCATAAAAGTGAATCCTTTCGGAAACTGACAACTTTCATCACCCGGGCTCCATATTTTGAAGAGAAGATGTTGAAAGTTTACCTCATGTTGGTTTTGTCAGCGGCTGCTGCTGTTTTCGCTGAATCGGTGAGTATTTTGTTAACATTAACTAATATTCACTTCGTTTAAGATGCTAAGGCTATAATCGAGCCATATCGTGCTCTATAATCAAACTTGACCCCCCAAAAAGTGGTTATATTTGTGTTAGCTAAAGCGTTAGCTTTCTGACAACAGACCTGTTGGTACAACAAAGGCTACTAAGTTATAAATTCAATAAAATTAACAATTTAAATGCACGATTTCAACTTTAGATTAATTGTCTAACGTCTAGGCAAGTCTTCTTTGACTTTGGTCGAATTTACGAATTTGGTGCACATCTGAAATAAACCTAATATTACAAATAAATATGATTAACGTGAGCCGAGTAACTTATTAATCGTTGTGTTGTGGTATTTTGCAAGTCTTTTGTGTGCCTGTACGTGTGTATAATTCAATTTTATATATTTAACGACGATATTTAATGACGAGAGTGACTTTCTGGCACTTGGCACCGAACTAGTCTTGCTCATTTTTGTTTGTTGAGTAACCTAACGAGTAGCACTAGCTTTTTCATGTGACAGTGTTTGCCTGCAGGGATTTTTTTTCTTTTTATATAGCACTAGCTCAATTTGATTAGACTGATTCAGTCATGAGGTTTACATTTCCATCTGTTCATTATGAAATCACCCACTGGAGCACCTGTGAATGGGATGCCACAGCTTTGTGTTGGCCAGTTCTTTCATAACTCAAAAGAATAGCTTGCTGCAGATGTCTGTGGAGCTGAAATAGAAGACAAATGCCACCCAGTGTGCTTGCTCGGTCAGTCAGACACACACACCACACACACAAGTCAAAATGCAAATTCTTTGAGCCCAAAGCCTCCATTCTCACAGACCTTTGGAAAGGTGTTGTCGCAGATCTTTATCTACACTTCAACGCCAACACATGCAGCTTTTTTTTTCGTCCCGTCTTGACCTTGTCTGCTGAATGGTTTAGTATAATATTGTGTAATCCACTGGGAAATAAAGTAATAGAACAGTAAACTTAACTAGCTGTGCAGTTAGTAGTAAATCAGATGGTGTGATTTAATCTCGGGCGGGAATGTTGCAACAAGCTTGCACACTCCCAAAGCCTTGTCCTTCGAGGCGGAGAAGGCCGCAGCATTCCTCAAAATTATGCTGAAGTGTCTGTGTTCCTTTCATCCCCCTCCCTCTCCATTCTTGTGCATTTTCCTGAGGAATTTGACCCCTCCTGACCTTGACCAGCCCTTCTTTTGGGATTTCACACACTTCGGCGGATTTAAATGGTCCACCTCTTTCATCCAGGTCCCTCCTCTTCAGCCGCTGGACAAGTGTGTGTGGCTTAAACTCAACATGGCATGGACACTTTAAACCTCAGAAATAGGCAAAGTAGGAGTGTGGATGTTCTCGATTTTGGCCTCGTTGATTTTATTTGAATACTTGTGCAGATTTCACCCCCTTACCTGATGGGATGATGTTGCTACTGCCACTTTTTACCACGTGTCTTTCTAACTAGATATTGAATTATATATTATATTGATTGACAATAAAAACCAAAACAATTATTGTAAAACGTTGCATTCACTCTGTTATTATTTTAAGTGTAATGGCCATGCTAGATGTCCTGGTAATGATTGTGTTTTGAATTAGGCATGAGGTGTTTTGCATATCAATAGGTTTGGATTTATTTATTTACTCGGTTATTTTTGGGGTGCAAAGCTCATCTGAATGGCTGTTGAAAGGCAGAGCAGTGCACATGATAAATACTTTCGGCAGGATATAATAATGATTTCTGGATTGCTGTCCACTGGCCTTATAAATCTCTTTTGAGGGGGGAATGTTGGCACAGAGCGAGAAGGTTTTATTTGCTGCTTGGGTGAAAGAAGGATTTTTGGTAATTTATGTAATGCATAGTATGTGTCTCTTAATATTTATTTCAACAAATACAATGCCTTATGCTGTACCCTTTTGTTTGCCAAGTCCAGAGAGGTATCTTGAGGCCATGGAAAAGGGAACCTTGTGTGTACTAGAGTCATTTAGCAGACCACATCCTTCACCGTTCCAGTTCTGTTGCTTGCGGAGCTATTAACCATATGCCATACAGGCTTTACTTGGAAACGCTGATAACCAGCCACCAGCTGTTCTTCATAATGACGGTTCCTCTTTCTTAAGTTTGCCTTTTTCTTGTTTTCCAGCTTAGTATTTTGGATAACTCTTTTGTACTAGATTTTGTTTTGTTTTTTAAATCAGGATCAACTTTACTGCCTACTCTATTCTAGTTAGGTTTCCTCTTTGTGGACTATATACCCTCCCCCTAAGCAATTCCCATCAACCCCTTTGTCTTTGGTGGTCTTTACACGCCAGGAAATGTGTACTTCTGAAAATACCCATTCTTCAAATAAACACCCGTGTTTCTCAGGTCAGACTTAAGTTAAAGCAATCTAGTCGAATCACCCCATTTATCACCCTAGAAACATGAAGTCTTCCCCATCTAATAACACATTTACTGCTAACTTGCATTATCTTGAGTCTTTGTATTGTTCAGATGCATGTAGTTTTGGAGGGAATTGTTTTCTTTCAGTCACAGGTTTATGTAGAGAAAATCTAATTTGTTTGTGTTGATAACTGAGAGCTTTAATAATAATGTTTTGAGATCTAAATGTTCACATTTATTGTTGTTGGGTTATTTTTGGCCATGTCTAATGGTTAATCTTAATGTTTTTCGTTTCTCAAATAAATGGCTGTAAAAAGTTGAGTGATTATGCATAAGTAAATGAGTAACTTTTCCTGTTGAACTTGCATGTGTGGAATGGCATGGTGTTATTCTTTAGAGAGCCAACCAAATGACTAAATGTCTAATGTGTATAGTTTATTGGTGAATCTCTTGACATCCATCAAGAACAAATTTAGCTAATTTGATTCCATAATCCAATCACAGTCTCTATTAACTTAAGATTTTAGCCAGTCAAGGAAGGTCTGTTGTCAGAAAGCTTAAAGAACTCCATGTTTTCAGGCTTAGACTACACAATACTGATTGTTTGGGCTATTCAGAACGGCTCATTGTGTATTAAACAGGCTTTGACGTAATGGTGTGAACCTTCATTAATGAAACCCAGATAGAAGCAAAGCATGATCACACTTCCTGTGGGAGAGAATAAAGGCTGGCGCCAGTGAGGCTGAATAGTCCTTTTTGTTTGGTTTAGTTGTAGATTTTGAAGTCCAATCTTGTTTCATCCACATACACTAATGCGTCAGAGCTTTGAACAGGTGTTGGGGTGAGAATTTGCCGTGTGATTTGAACAATTTGGTATCGTTTACCAGGCAGGTGAGTCTTTCTGCCCCGCTGTTGAGATTCAGCGGGGGGTCTAGAAAGGGAAAATGCAGCTATAAATAGTTCCCACAAAGGTGGAAGGAATTCTCCTGACGTGCAAGTGTGTTTGTGTGTGCAAAGTAGGACGTTCACTCTGTCCCGAGGGAGGAGTGTATCTCATGAGGAGATCAGATGACATGAATAAATCCGATTGGCGGGAGCGACAGACACCGTTTGTATTGACGACTGGGGCTGTAATTGGTTGTGACCTGAAAGGACAACAAGGAGAGTCTCAGTCTTCAAACCACAACAGATGATAGCGGATCATGTTTCTACTGTAGCTTTAATGGGTCATCACCAATGAATCTCAGATGGAGATTTTTTTGGAGAAAATCTGTGAGAAAAGCAATGCTTTTTCATACACAGAAGTTGCTTTGTAAAACTCTTGACACAAAACACTTGTGTTTTTTTTTTCAAAATTGGCCGTTAAACTCAAACCGTGAATAATCACCTGATCACCTGGGACAGTTTACCACACTATTGGGTGAGTCACTGATTGTGGTATCTTCTTTACTTCTTTCATGGACTCACTGGAACAGATGCCAGACCATTTGTCAGCAGATGGCCGGATTTGCTCCAAGATTTGCTAGTCTTGACTGAGGCCTGGTTTACTAAGCTGGTTAATTTACACAGGCTTCTCTCTGGCATTACAGCTCACTCAAGAGCCTGGAGAGTCAGTACTAGAGGCATACTCATACTTGTAGACATGCCGTCATCTTCATATCAGACATATTCATATCAGTCTCGACGGCTATCATGAGGGTTACCTAAGAAAATAGACGCGTTACTCACTCACCCTTGTGATCTTTTAACCCTAAAACTGTATTCTGGACAAATGTGGCCAAAATAGTTATGATAAGATACTTCCCTTGATCTGAGCGGTACAAGACTTGGCTACTTTTCCCAACTTTGCCTCCTGAACACTCAATTCTACAATGTTAAGTGAGTGAATTGGATCAAAAATGGGCACCCATAGAAATGAATGGGTAAAACTGTAAATAAGCCAAAATAAGACGCCAAGTGACAGCAAAGTCACTTCATCTTTAGGTTTTAGCTCTAAGAACTTATTGGAATGATATTTTAATTTAGTTAAAACAATAAAACATAAAATAATGCATAATGTACATCGAAAATATGGTACTTTTTGAAGTAAATAAATTCAAAAATACCCACAAAATAAAAAAACACACCATAAATGGATAGACAAAACTTTATCGAAGACAGTGATATAACATTTATGATAAATAAAAATTAGGATCACACCTGAGCCCTCTGTGCCCACATTTGTCCACAATTACCGGTTTAAGGGCTATAAGTGAATACGGTTTGAGGGCTACACCTGATGCCAAATCAAAGCACAAATTGGTTAACGACGTGAATAATAACTTTAAATTTCAGTTCAAGCTCTATGCACACCAGACTACTTTAATAGTGCATTTGTTATTTGACTCCAGCCATTGTATAGACAAAAGAAGCATGAACATTGATAAACCTCTCCTTTTGTGTGCAAGAAAGTCATACGGGTTTAGAACGACATGAGGGCATGAGTAAATGATGGTAGAATTTTTCATTACTTCTAGAGCTGTTATCTCACACATTGGGGTTGTTTCTTTTAAATGAGGGGGGATTTTTGGTGATTGCTGAGAAATTAAGAACAAAAACCTTTATTTCCTGCATCGCGACTGAGAAATTTCAAGGGACTTTCTTTAGCCGTCCATCGTAGTCTAGAGCTTTTAGTTTGCTCTGTGGGATTTCTTTTAAACTCTTTTAAGTGGCTTATATACATTTACTGAGAATTTAAGGGGTTGCTTATGGGAATTGAAGCATTGGTTTAATTGAACCACGGCCTTGCGCCTCTTCGCAGTCAGAGAGCATCCGCTGTACTTTCTTAGACAGCTTTTTTTCCCTCTGAGCTGAGTATTTCATAATGCCAGGGGATTTTGGTGTGGGGTTTCACAGCACTCTAAGGCTGAAAACCATAAAGTATGTCGGTCTCTCTCCCCACACCCTCTTGTGGTTTCTGTCATTCTCTGTTTCTCGCTCTCCCTTTTTCTTTTATTATCCTCAAACAACAGAGCAGGCTAGAGCTGACTTGCAGTTTCATGTGACGTTTGCGTGATCCTGGTTTTCCTGGAAAATGAGTTAGCCCCCTCCCCGATCTCCATTTTAAAACCTCTTCCATTTAGCGTCTAGAGCCATTTTAAGCATCGAGTTTGTTTTAAAGACGACCTATTGTAAGATGAAGTCACCAAAATCCTCTTTAAAGTGTGTTTGAAAAGTGGTTACACTGGGTTAGGCGGCATGAGTACACACCTGTACTGCATTATGAAAGTTTTTGACTTCCCGGTATGTGAAACTTTTCAGTGAGTCAACTCTGATTAAATCTGTTTTTGACAGCGAGTCGGCGTGCGAGACTGATAAAGACCCTCGGCCCCTGTCCGATGAATTCTTCCGTTGTTTTACACGATGGAGGCAAACCTGCGCTAACTTGTTCTTACCTCTCTGACTCACTTCGAGGTCAAGAGGGGTGTGAATGTAATACAGTATTGTGTAATTCACGGGTGTGTCATTCGGAATAGAATTTAGAATCTTTTTAAAATTACAGTTAAAAAGAATGTTTTGATGTCTCGCAACCATAGCAACGGTGAAAATAAAAATGGCCACTTCTGTGGACGACTCTTTAGGGAAAGACGAGGAAAAATATAAATCAGTATGCGTGTTCTGCTTCCTCCTGTTATGCTAATAGGCTTTAGTCCGTTAATTGTTTAAAACTCATTCATAGTGCTTGTCCAAATGGCTCTGCTGAAGTGATTTAAAAGTGTTGGTGTGTCTTAATTTAATTAAGTGTGCTCTCAGAACCATCATGATGCCATAGACAAAGTATTAAAGGGATATATAAAACATAATTTTAGTCTTAACCAAATAAATGATCCCCCTCTTGATTAATGTTGCTTTAATGAGGTCTTCGGATCATTCAGGTTTTTTCTTTTTTGATTTGCCTTAATGCTTTTGAACAAACGGTGTCAGTCGGGTGTATTTTCTTCATGATTTTTTTTTCTTCTCTTTGTAGGTACGAGAAACGGAAACATGGGTACCTCTGAAAACCGAGTCACCCCATGAGGATCTGGAGTCGTCCGGTGACTCTACGCATCAAGATTTTGAGTTTGCTGATTTAAACCCAATTGACGATGAGGATGTCTATGATGATGATGATGATGAAGAGGATGATTATGATGACATATCAGGCTCAGGGTCTTCAGAGATCATCATTACGGAGGTAGCTATAGAACAAATTTAGTCATGATGTCAGATTGAGTTGCAGTTATTTTGATACTGCAGAAATGTTCGGAAACAATGAATTTAATGAGGTTTTCATCTGTAAATAATTCAAAAAAGAAAAGCTCTTCAAAGAATTATTTTAATAGGCAATTTAATTATTTTAATAAACTGTCATAGGCTAATAACTAGACAACATCTTTCTATTGCGTTTTCTCACTGATGTTGTACGATACCAAACATACAGTTCAGCTAGTGTCATTTGATTTGTCTCCTATTCTTAATGAATGTCAGATGAATCATTAGTCTAAAATGATTCATTCATGGTTGCTGACTGCTTTATGAATTTTCTTCCTCTCTCAGAATGATCTCAAAAACTGGATACCTGATCCTGTGGGTCCATTTGCCCCGCTGCCAACTATAGATGAGGTGATTGCGGTTCGAAACAATGAGGTCGGCATGGAGAAATCGCTAAACCAAGAAAATGACCAACAAAGCAATGTGCTCATGACCGTTGCTGGAGAAGAGAGCTTGTTCAACAACACAGAGGTTCTTGCAGGTGAGGAGATGGGTTTAATTCATTTGTAATGATGTTTGTTTAATATGCCAAGTAAATAGTTTAATACTTATTATTGGACTAAAATGTAAATATGTAAAGAGTTCTTTCACCCAAAAATGAAAATTCTATCATTTACTTGCCCTCATGCCGTTCCAAACCCGTTAGACTTTCATTCATATTCAGAACAAAAATTATCTTTTTGATTAAATTGGAGAGATTTCTGTCCCTCCATAAACGGCTACACAACTGACACTTTGACGTTTCAAAAAGTTCACGAACGTGCAACTAATCCATATGAATTGAGCGGTTTAGTCCAAATTTTCTGATTAGACACAATCGCTTTATATAATGAACTGTGAATTTAGGCTTTTATTCACATTTAAACATTGATCTGCGAACATAAATAAATAAATGCGAGAACAAACCTCATTGGTTCTTGTTGAAGCTCAAACGTGATGCGTAGCACAAGAATGAATCTCATTGGTTCTCGTGAGTTTCTTTTGCCACAGCTGATGTGCGTTTATGAATATGTGAATAAAAGCCTTAATTTGGTCTGTTCATCATATAAAGTGATCGTGTCTCTTCAGGACTAAACCGCTCGAGTCATACGGATTCGTTTTACGATCTCTTTATGAAGTTTTTTAAGTGTCAAATTGGTAGTTGTGTAGCTGACAACGAAGGGACATCAAAACGATCGTAATTTGCTTTCTGAAGATGAACGAAAGCCTTGCGTGTCTGGAAGCCTTTTTGGGTGATCAATTCCTTTTTTATGTTACTTTAGTGTAATTTATATACTGTTAGGCCGTGTGTCCACCAAAGCGTTTTTCCACGCGCCTGGCGTTTGTTTTCAGTAGAAGCGCCGCGTTTCTTAAACTGCATGAGCGTAACGAGGCGCTGGGCGTTTTTTCACGCTGAATCGCCAGCGCCCAGCGTTTTTTTACAGGTCGCGAGAGTTGGAAAATGTTCAACTTTGGATAAAACGCAGTCACTTTTTACCAAGCCGTCCAATCACAGTGGAGGGGGGGCGGGACTAAACCACACTGTCCAACTGTCAAACATTTTTTCTGTACAACGACATCAACCAGCAGAGCTAACCGAACAAAATGGATGAAAAATACATTTTTAGTATGAAACAAATAATCTTCGAAATTAGTTGCACGTAAACTGTGCTGCGGATATTCTGTATAATAGCAACGAAACGTCTCAACGGAAAAACCGCTGCGCTCTAAAGCACCCCAAGCTAGGCGTTTTCGGCAGAGCGGCAGGCTGACTAAAAACGCTTTGGTGGACACACGACCTTACGGCAGTATTCATATTGTGAATTTATTTTTGATATTTTCAAATTTTAGTAATTATTTAGTTTTTTATATTAGTATAGCTTTTATATATGTTTTAGTAACGTTAGATATTAGTGTTGGTGCCCCTATTCTTTTTTTCTGAATATTACCTTTCATGCAGTTTGTGAATGTTTTACGGCCGTGTCTGTCGGTTATTCCTCACGTTTTGTATGTTTGTTTTATAGCTATTATTGCGGGCGGAGCAGTTGGTCTCATCTTCGCCATCCTCCTCATCGTCTTCCTCGTTCACTTTGTTCTCCGCATCAAGAAGAAAGACGAAGGAAGTTACGACCTGGGCAAGACGCCCATCTACAAGAAAGCTCCCACCGCAGAAATCTACGCATGAGCATCCTTTCCCTCTCAAACCTTCTCTCTCTCTGTCTCTCTCTCTCCCTCTCCCTCTCTCTTTTGAACTATAAGCTCACATGGTGCCTCGGTCCGACGGGCCGCCGCCAACCTCTCACGCACCACGAAAACCGCAGGAGAACCTCACGAATAATTGACTCTGACTGGACATTTGCATTGCAATCTCAAAGTGAATCGAAGAGGATCGCGTCTGTTGCCAAACTGCCCGATTCTTGTCGTTTTGTTCCCACACTCTGTCAGGTTTATTGCCTTTTTGTCACGTGGCCTGTTGTCTCCATTATTTTTTTTCTTTTTTAATAAAACACTACAAGGTGTAATGGAGCTTCCACGGGTTAAAGGCTTTGGATTGACGATTTTAATCCACCGTTATGATAAGCAGTCAGTGTCATGATTGATGCTACAGAGAGGGGGTGTTACTGTAGCCTTTTACGTTATCAGATGTCTTTTGATTTTAAGTCTGTGCTGTAAAACCTTTTAATTTTCATATTAAACATCAGAGGTGAAACCAAACTGAAGGCACGCAGCATATGTTCGAGATGAAATTCTGTGAGGGCAAAATCTGAACTGGGTGTACTAGACTGACGTATACTCCTTTCAGCCATGGTGTTATGGTACATTCCACATATCCGTATGTAATTGCTGTGGTGGTTTTATACGTCGAGAGACTAGATCCACTACGTGCTGCTTGACTGTCAGCTAAGCTACTTTAACAGGTACAGATGCTGTTGATTGAGAATCAGTTCACTGCAAACAGACTTTGTACATCCAGGGATCTGTATATAGCCATTTGAATAAATGTAAAACTTTGGTACTTAGCCATCTTGACAGCCTTTTATTTACCAAATATTTAAATGCCAAAATCAGTTTTTATTGTTCTTATATCTCATCCCGGTATTTGCTTTTGGCATAACCTGAAAGCTGATGGTTTGTGTCTGTATCTTTCGGAAACATGTTTTGTTTTGAGAACAATGACCAATGTTAGTACTAACTTTTTGTTTTTTCTCAATGTTTTTGTAGATGTTCTTAATTCCTTTTTAATTTTGTTTGGTATTAATTTAACTCATATTTTATTGCCTGCCTTCAGGTCGGGGGGTCTTTCTTCCCCTTCTCAGCTGTTGTACATGTAATAATTTTTATTTTTTATGGTTTTTAGATTTGTTTTATATACAGTAGTGCAAAAATTCAAAGGCTGTTAGTCTTTCAACAGATTTTAAGAGTTTCTATTTCGTTTAGACTTTTTAAGCCGAATATATTTATGTTTTGTAGAAGGATGTTCTGGATTAGTAAAGGGGAACGTGAATAAGCTGTGCATTACTGTGCATGGTGTAAAATGATAAATTTGCTGCTTTGTTTGGTCACATCCAGATAAAATCACTGATCTAATGTTGAAGTCAATGAATCATTGATTTCTGCATGCAATTTCTGATCTGTTGAAAATAAAGCTATTTTATGCACATAACCTTTTGAACGGTCTTGAGCTTTTTTCATGATAAAAAGAGGTTGCCTTTGACGGGGCGTTTACACGACAACGTTTTTCAACTGAAAACGTTTTCTGACTTTTGGCTGTTCATTTACACCGCAACTGCATTTTGGGGGCATTTTTGCATTTTAATGCAGACTTTAATAAAACTGGTTTGCGTAAAGTACAAAAAAAGCGAATTTGTGAAAACACTGTCATCACGCGCATGCGTATTACGTGTTTAGGCTGTAGGCGCGTGCGCGTAGTGTTTCTTTTACGAAGTGACGTCAATTATTGGCTTGGCATGATTAATGTTTTTAGCCGTTTTTGTGGATCAAGATGGATCATTTTGACAGTGTTGTCGTCTGTGTTCGAAAAATGCAAGGAAAATTTTTTCCATATTTTTAGTAGGCCCTATCGTTGACGTATAAATGTACGCTTAATAACGTCACCATAGTTCTCTAGACGTGAAAGATGGGTCCTCCCTCTTGCCCTAAAAGCACACCTGAATCAAGTCAAGAATAAGTTTATTTGGGGGTTCCTATGGTTCAGAAAGACTCTGAAACAGGACAGTGGGTAGCGAAGGTGGATGTATGAAACATCTCGACTTTTAAATTAGATTGAATTTGAACCTAAGATGGCCGATGTTTGGGTTCAGACAATGAGGATCACCGAGGACCAATGGAAAGAATGTATATGTAGACAAGGTAGAGATGCACTCTTTTGTTTATCATTTGAAATCATTTTTATTATTCTGTTGGGTTATCTATGTACAAAATTTTGTTATTTTTTTAAGGAATCCTTAAAAAATGATAGTGATTTTAACGTTAAAAGACGAGAAAATTTCCTTACTAGGCTATCCCAGATAGCAGACTGACATTGAATCAACGTGGAAATATGACATCGAAACAACGTTGATCTGACATTGTTTTGCTCATCGAATTAACGTTGAACCAACGTCAGACGCGTCATTCTTTCAAAACTAACTGAAAATCAACTTGAAATCAACGCGTTGTTTCAACGTTATAAAAGCAAACCAATTTTCGATTTCATTTAGCTTTGAAGAATGCCGCGTCTGACGTTGGTTCAACGTTAATTCGATGAGCAAATCAACGTTGTTTCAATGTCATGAGAGACGTCGTTTCCACGTTGATTCAATGTCAGTTTGCTATCTGGGATGGTAAATATAGGATAACTGATAGATCTAATGGTACACTTAATGTATTTTTACTGTAAAATACCATTCAATTTACAGTTTTTAAAAGTGAAAAAGAACAACTCATTGTATAATTTAATCCGTAAATTGACATCCCCACAATTTCCTGCGTGACACTTCACATTTTATTCACTTCACAAGTTTCTTCAAAATTTTCTTAGTTTTTTTTCTAATCAGCTATGGCTTTTATGTTACATTTAATGTTGTTAAATTAATGTGTATGGCATTTTTAAAATTTCTCGTGTGTTAGCATGATGCAGTTTAATGTTTGTGCGAATGACATTGTGCAGCTTCTATATAATAGTATTAACTTTCTTGTGGGAAAGCTGTTTATGATGAGCTTTGATTGATCATGTGACTCATCTCTGCAGGGATTGTTGGTAATCGGTGTATTGCAATGGTACAAAACAGATATTAACACTTCAATAGGATGGTAAATGAACATAATATCAGATAATGAAATACTATTACTATAAATTATTTTTATAGTTTATTACTATAAATAATAAGTTGAGTCTATAAAACCAATAAAGTTGTTACCGTAAAGTTAAAGTAAACACAACTTTTCCACAACTTTACTGTAAAGTATTTGACGGTAAAGTTGTGGTAACCACAGCTGCTGTTTTTGTACCGTAAAAAATAGAATTTATTTTTTAACAGTGTACTATGGTATAAGTACTATCACTAAAAATAGTAAAAATAGATACTTAAGCCACCATTGTGGTTTCCCACATTGGTGAAACCCTCTAGAGAACCTTGTGGAGGCTTCAAAATCCTATTGTACAACCTAAATATTTTTTTCAAGCACCTCAAATATGATCAAATGTGGTTACTAGGGGAACCATTGACAGTCTTTAGAGTTCCTCTGAGAACTGACCTTTCTGCCTAAAGTCTTTTCACCAGAGTGAGGCCTTCTGTGTGGAATGTCACTTCACATAATGATGACTTTGCCTATGTTTGGTTTCTATGGTTTTGCAACCTGATACCTTTGGAGAAACACTGTAACTTCAATGGTTCTTTAGAAAACCATCTAAAACATTCGAGAGTATGGGATCGTTTTTAAATATATTTCTCAGCGAGGATGCATTCAATTGGTCAAAATTTACTGGTTTTCGTTCATCAAGTGAACATGCCTGAGCTTCTTTTGCCACAGCTGATGTGTGCGTTTATATGTGAATAAAAGCCTATTCGATCTGTTCATTCATTATATAAAGCGATTGTGTCTCTTCAGGACTAAACCACTCAAGTCGTTTTACAATTTCTTTATGAAGTTTTTGGTAGTCGTGTAGCTGACCTCGGAGGGACATCAAAAAGATCTTAATTTGTTTTCTGAGGATGAACCAAAGTCTTGCGGGTTTGGAAGCCATTTTGGGTGATCGATTCCTTTTTAATGTTATTTTTGTAAAGTCGAAGAGCTTTACGTAGGATTTTCAAAAGCCTGTTTGAACTGAATAACACTCAGATCATTAAGTGTTTGTTTGAAAATGTCAGCTTTCTGGTTCAGTTTGCATATTATTCATACATGGACCTGTTTGTGATGGATGAAAGTTGAGTAATAGGACAGTCTTTAAAGTGTAATCTAATTGGCTCAGTGTTAAATCGGGAATTTCCACCCCTAGAGAAGTGTGTGTGTGTGTGTTTCCCATCATGCTGATGCCTGTCTGCTCTGCTACCAAAACAAATGAGCATACCAGAAGAATAGACTGAGTTTGTTTTCTTTTTAGATTGAAGGATAAAAATAGAAACGTTTTGATTAAAAAAAGGTCATGCATGAGGCCTTGAAAATGAACTATTTTTGTTTTTTTAAGAGGAGAAAGATTGACAGGATGTTTCTTTTAAAATAAATGCCATTTGTTTTTAATATTTTGGGTTGCAATGGTGTCATGAGTGTGTGTGACTTAAAATGAACACTCGCCAAGCACCAAATGTGAGTAAAAAATTATGAAACAGTGGTAACATTTTTATAAATCCTAAAAATCGCCACAAAAACGCAAGAAATGACAAGGGAACTCGATTTTTATGCACATATCCGAAGCGTGCGCCCAGAAATCTGCATCTCACACAGTGCATTGAATTCTCTTTTGCGTCAACTTGTGCTTGAACAGATATGTTGAAGTGAACATAAACAGTTCAGAAATACGCATGTGTATCAGTATATTGAATTTGTGCATTAGCTCCTAAAATGACAGCAGCCTAATAATTTTTAACTTTAATCACTCAAAGAAAAATCACTCACTGCTCTTGACTGAATAACTTTTGTAATTTTAATAAAGACATCCATTTATGTTTCATGGCTGGTAAAAATATTTATTTTTATCAGTACATTTTCACTGGCTATTGGCAGGAATGGCAAAAAGTTAGTTTTAGGCCCGGTGTGTGTGTGTATGATGATGCAACATTATGATTAATGACAGGGTGTGTTGAACACATGCCGACCTGAAAAAGACGTAAATGATGTAACTTCAGTACAAACAGATAGTTGAGACATATCGGAAAAAACAATTGAAACCTGTTTGGTCAACAGCAGATTAATCACTTATATTTTACACAGATATAATTATATGACCTGCATGGGGAAGTTGATTTAGTATATCTGGTGATGTTGTAGTGTAACCAAATATCTTAAAGCTCATTTAAAATAATATGCAAATCTTAATGTTTCCATGACGAGTTTCTCATTTATCTGTCATCTGTTGAGAAAAAAAAAGCACGGCTGCGGTCACATGTTGAATGGACAACTAGACCAGGAAGTTTTTTTTTGTTTTTTTTTCCTCATAGCACAAGGAACCGTTTCATCATTAACACACGTTTTCTGCTAGAGATATTTGAATGCGAATCAGAAAAACAAGTCTGTGGAACGTTCTGGAAAGTGTTCAAACGCTCACGTGTTACGCAATGCTATTGGAAGATGAATGCCTTTTTGCTTTCAACTACAGTCTGGGTGTGTTTACACAGGAGGTGGAGCAAAAGAAACCGTTTGTGATGATCTCTTTAAAATAAACATTACATTTACTGTGGACTGAACAGGGTTTTCACTAAAATGTAAGTAGCTATAAGATTGTGAATCCACACACACGCACTTTATTATACTATTTTGCAGATGCAAACCTTTTAAAATAGCAGCATGTTCGCACCAAATTTGCATTACAACCTGTGTGTGTATCATAGAGGCGGTTATGATAGCTAATATTACGTTTCTGGCCTTGGGGAACTAAGTCAGACAAGGAAAGTAAAGAAGAAAAGCAAATAAAGAAAAAGGCTGAAACCATTTGATCTCACGAGGATGTGCATCTTAAATGCAAGGCAGGCAAATCTCTTAAAGGTAAATAATGCATCTCTCTATTTTTGTAATATGTAAATTTAAAGGCTAATTTTATTTCAGAGAGGAAACATGGATACTGCTGAGTTAAACAGATGATGGCCTAAAGGCATGGCCTAAATTTATCACATTGGGCTACATAATATATAGGGTAGCTATTGCTTGACATGCATGGGAGGTTGCATATGGTATGTAGAAAGCAGTACGCTAGTATTCAATAATACTAGGACTTTATAGTCAAGAAGTCTGGGATTTCTGACGTACACTGTTAAGAGTTGTGGAGAGCATTTGAAAAGCTCCTAACTACTGCCACCTGCTGATTTGTTTTAGACATTACAAATCTTTGTCCTTTTTAATCTTTTATGGGTTTGCTTATTTTTAAGAATATATCATAAAAATACTTTCTTAGAGGAGTCAAAAAACTGTATTATTTGCAAATTCAGAGCAAAAATAAAGAGGCAAGCT